AGAAATAAAGCTGGTGAATTTTCAAAGGAAAGTGTCCCAAAATATGCACATTGGGAGAAATATATTTCAGTATTTATGTTTTTGGTGCAGAAATTTAAGCCTGGTAAATTATATCCACTAATTTATTTAAGAATTTATCAGTAAGAATGACAAATATGCTAGATTATTATAAAATAGGCTCTTGTACTTTTTAAAATACTGATTGGTTAACTTCACCATTAACACAATTTTACTCTTCTTTTGATGTTAATGGTTTCTATCACAATGTCCTCTTTTAAAGATCTATTATGATATTTTTATATCAAATATAAGCTACATACAGTCTATCACTATATCATTAAAATTAATAAGACATTTTTAAAAACTCATTAATTTATGTATCACAACTACATTTCCTTCTACTTTAAATAGGTTAGGAGTCTTTTGGTTCTATGTTTCATTTTAACTTTTTATTAGGGATAAAATAATTTATGGATTTTCATGTTATTTGAATTTTAAGATATCCAAAGTGCTCCCCCCAGGATGCCATTACTAAAAACAAAAAATTATGTAAAGTAATTTCAAAATTAAAACATAAGATAAACTGTTAAAAAAACATGCTGTGGCCCGGGAAGGCAGTGGAGGATGGCCCAAGTGCTTGGCCCTGCACCCGCATAGGAGACCAGGAGGACACACCTGGCTCCTGGCTTCGGATCGGCACAGTGCGCCGGCTGTAGCTTCCATTTGGGGGGTGAACCAATGGAAGGAAGACCTTTCTCTCTCACTGTCTAACTCTGCCTGTCAAAAAAAATGCCAATATGGAAAAGTATATACAGTATAACTGCCATAAAAAACAGACCCCAGACCATTCTAAAAGCAAATTTTACTTTTTAAATAAAGAAAAAATAGATAAGAATTTTAAATAGATAAAATTAACTATTATACTTTCCTCCTCGATAATTTTTTAAAACTAAGGTAGAATATAGAAAAGACCTGCACATTATTTAAATTAAATCTTCAGCAAACAAGAGGATTTTTTCAACTACTACTTTGTTTTAAAGTTTCAAGAGGTAAGGATAAATATGTATTTATGTTTATTTCATATAATTGAAATGATAATTTTCTTACCTTTGTGCAGAGGCAGAGATTTTTTTAAAATGTGTTTTATGGACTTATGTACATCCCTCACCTAGAACAGTACCTGGAAACTTATAGGTATGCAATAAATATTTGTTGAATGACTAAGCAATCTAGAGAAAAACACTTAAGAAAGGATGATTACCTAAAAGCCCTGTAATAATCTACCTGTCACTTTCCAAAACTAATGTCCAAGATGATATATACAACAAGGACATACAACTAACCGTTATCTATAGAATCACAATTACTAGAGATGGAACAACAGCTGAACAATGATTATTTCCTGATACTAAGAAGCAAATATTATAAATTGTTAAAAACAAAGTTTAGAAACCAGCATGCTCTAGAACATTTCTTGGGATATAGAAGTCTCAACAGAATACAGGTTGTGAATATACTTGGAAAATCATGACTTGAGAGTGTATTCCCAGGTTTAGAAGAGTAATTTAGAGACAACATGCAAAAACACAAAAGGTTTGCCTGAACAGCAGGCTAAGGTATTTTACAGTGTTTCCAAATTGGCTGTGGCATCTTTATACTAATTTCCGGGCATCAGTTCTAGAGTTAAAAGGAAACATTTTGGAAAGGGCATGCAAGGAACAGAACAGCAGAATTTCTTTGCCCCTAATGTTTTTTCATATCATGGTGAAAAATATAAAATAATACAGTTTTATCCATATGTAATGTGATAAATAATACATGAGACTCCATGCTTCATTTACTTTGCCAAAACAAAGAAAATTCCACCAAAAAGGAAAAACCTGATAATGTTCAAATAACTCATTCTTTGAAAACACAAAATTAAGTTAGAGCATTTATCCAATGAATAATGAACTTAGAACCTCACATTATGTGATAATTAGAAAGTTCACTATAATAATGGCACTAACAGAATATCTTATGCTAGCCAAAGTAATCAGGAGAAATTTAGCTAGAACAAACAAACAAAAATCATTGATGAGTTACCAAAAAGTTGAATGAATCATTTTGGAAGAAACATGGTAACTAATCATAACCAGAACATATGTACATTTTGACCATTCAAAATATACATCTGTTCTAGAAGTAAAAAAAAAACAAAAACAAAAACAAAAACAAAAAACCAGAAGTATCTAAATGGATTATAGATACATTTTTAGCCCATAGGCAGAAATAAAACAAATAATTCCTGAACCTCATGAGAAAAACATTAACACTTAGATATAAAGTTTTAACTTGATTTTTATTTCAATTTTCCATACAATGGATTATTAATGTAGTCACTCAGTCTCTTAAAATTTCATGCTTTTATTTAATGATTTATTCTTATACCTTTAAGAAACAATACAAATAATTGATTCTATAAAGGCTTTTTGGTTTGTATGCAGGCTTTTTTGGTTGTTTTTACTGAAAATTACTTAAAAAAGTCCTCACTGAATGATCGTTGCTAATAAACCTCAATAAAAGATATAATATCATAATAAAAAATAGTAATGCAAATTTGCAGTGCAAAAGTTAAAAAATTAAAATTCCACACCCATGGTATGAATGTAAATGTGCTAAGGCCTTTAATAAACTCCCAGCACCTTCTCAGCCCTTTAATTTTTTTAGTATGACTTATCAATTAGAGTTAACCTTATTGTCACAGTGTTTTTCTGTTGATAATTTTTTTAATTTAACCAATTTAATATTTGTTACAATTTCTTAGTTACAAAAATAAACAGTGCTCACAGACCCAAGCACTAACTCTCTCAGAGGCTGAGAGAACTCAGTACTAATTGCACATTCTGTGTACGGCAGTTACATAGAATCTATTTCTTCAGGGGCTTTTTGTGCATATATGCACATGTATTTTTTAAAAATGGAGATGAAGTAAAAAATGTTACTCTGGTGGGCTCTGTTCTTCCAGAAAGAGACATTTCTCTCAACTAAGTATTCATGCCAATGTTTTCTTGAAAATGATATGCATGATCCAAAAATGTTTTATATTAATTTAAGCAAAATCATAAAACATCATCAATCATTTGACTACCTATAAGTAGGAGAAAAGAAATACTAGAACCTCCAAAAGACTTAGGGATTCTATCGCTTCTTCCTGCAAAATATTTCAAGCATCTTATAAAAAGATTTTTAAGTTTACCTCAGAAAAAGAAAATAGGTTAAAAAACAGCAAAATAAAGGAAATTAGTATTCATGGATGGACAGAAAGAACATGAAAGTACTGTGGTTCAGAACAGAATTACTAAATGGCTATGACATCTAATAAATTTATAGTGCAGTTATGTTTTCACAGACCTAAAATCAAGATAAAGCACTGAAAACTATTAAGGAGAAAAAGGAAAAGTCACTGACTGTAGAAAGTAAATAATCACTTCAGGGCCAAATTTCTCTGAATTGAAAGAGCTACAGTGAGGAACAACAAATGTGCTCATCAGTTATGGCCACCCTAGAAGAGCAAAGGAAGAAGAAATGAAGAAAAATAATTTTTTCTTTAGGGAAAAAGAATAGAATTAATGTTTTATTAAATCTTATAAGCTAACCTAAGAATTCTGTTTTGACTCTTTGAATGCTATAGACAATAATGACTGGGAGCACATAATGAAAAGCAAACCAGGACTCAACTTCTAGAAATATAAATTCAATAATTACTTTTATAATCAAAACTAGATTAAGATGTATTAATGGAAAAATGAGAATAAAAATAGCCAACATATGAGAACAAAAAAAGTAAAAAAATGGTTATATCAAGTTTCTCCAAGAAACAAAAGACATTAATCAGATATTGGTGGTATTTCAGTCTTCTAGAAGAACAAGCAGTCAAACTTTGGAGAATGTGGGTCAGAGAAAGAATCTCCTAAACTCAGGAACCATAAAATATAAAATGGCAAACCATCTAATAGATGATAGTTTTATATTATGAAAAGGCCAAAAATAAAGATCCATGGCTCCAAACATGATTACTAATACTAGGTTTTTTTGTTATTTATCTTTGCAGGGGGCAGGTAGGAAGTGCCAATGATAAGGTGAAAGAAAAGTTTAAAAAGACCAAACTAAAAGCAGGTGATGAGAAAAACAAAGTCTGCTTCCATGATGCAGGCTGTCTGGATGATATACCTTTCTGGCATATTTGTTTTTAATGAATTTATTTTTAAGGAAATATTACCATGTTTGGCTTATATTGATAGGTTTATTAACAGCTGCCCCAAAATTAGAGGAAGAAGCAGGAAAAGCTATGAAATTAATTCTATTATGTCTTATACTCCTATTTTGTCTAAATGTAGTTGAGAATCTGGAAAATCCCACTAAGTCCCATATAAAATGGACTCCATGAGGCCAGTAAGTTCTAAATTATGTCATCCAAGGCATCACAGTTTTGACAAACATCTGGCAATAAAACTTATCAAATAATTATACAGACATAATTATAGTTAATCTATACATATACATATATAAATATGTATGCAGTAAATGCAGTGGGAATTCATATATAAAGTGTTTTCCTTAATTTTACATGTAACTGAAATAATAAACAGGATACATGTATCCAACCGAGATTTAAATTTGACAACTGCTGGACATAATGTCAAATTTAAAGTAACAATTTGGGAAAGAGCAATCTCTGCATTAAAAAACCCATCTTACACATACAAATTTTTGGCAGCCATGTAAATAAGAGCACCTATTGGTAAGCATAATACAATAAAGCAGTATACAAGAGAAGTAATTCCAATGCATTCATTTTTATTTTGGTTCTGTTTAATTTTCACTTAAATTCTTATGTAAAGAATAGCCAGTTTCAAGCAAATTCCACTTACAAATTTCAAATTACTATGACTAATGTTTACAGCTATGCATTTTCTTCAAAACAGTGTATGCCTTTGTACAGAATTTGGATCACGTACCCATGCCTCTGTCTGAATGGGCTTGATATTGCTTAGTAGCACCTCTTCATAGTTTCCATAATCGATGAATTTAACAACTGCTGTCATACCAGAAGAATGGAGGGCTTCAACTTCTGCTCGGTAAAACTGAGGAGGCAAAAAGTTGTTTTAAATATTACAATTAATGCTATCTGCAAAAGCAGTATTTGATGAAACATAAATCTCAGTGTTACAATCTGCAGTATTTTCAGAAAATAAAGCAACTTTTGAGAACCCTTTGAATATTACTGGTAAGAAAAATCTTGCCTACTAATCAGAAAATATTATTATAAAGTAATATATCATAAGACAGAAATACATGATAAAACAAACAGTAAAGAAGAAGAATCCTTGCTTCGGTCATCACAGATGGTTGAGTGTAAGGTTGGGATGTCAGGTAAAGGGTAAGCACATGGCTTAAATCTAGGATTCATGAGGTTTGCAACATTGCAAGATCAGAAACTTTGATCAGTTTACTCAGTGTTACCTGGCTCTTAACAACTGATGCATGGTAACAAACTCATAGGAATTACTTTATATAATAACCATAATTTTCAAATTTATCTGCTAAGGTAACTGGGAACAAGTCAGCTGACTGGAGTACTCTCCCAACTAGGTCAACCCATTCAGGACTTTCAGGTGAATGTGAAAAGACAACAGAAAACAATATGTTCTTAAGGAATATTATCTTCAAACTAGAGTAGTTGGATGTCCTAATATGACACTGTCTACTTAGCAGGCTCACAAGAATGAGAAAGTCTTAAAGGTAACAAAAATTCATTTTCTTTATATTCTTCTAGAGTATAAGTTACCCTCATCTAACAGGAAAGAATTGTCTTTTTAAACTAGGATATTTAACTAGTAACTACATATCACAAAGGTATTAAGTGAATCTATGTGTTTCCTTTACAATCTGAAGGCTAGCAAGTTTAAAGACAGTGCTAGAATTTTCTTTATCTGAGGTTCTTCGTAAATGCTCTGATCTCTTCCCCCTTCTTTCATTTCTTAGTCTCATACTTTTGTGTGCTGTGAATGATGTTTCTGAACACATGCTTCACATGTAAGCTTCATAAATTCTGTCAGTTCAGTAAAGTTCAATAAACATGAGTCATGTTATATCCTAGAAAACAATTAAGTTGATATACTATACATGTGTATATATATCCCATTTATTTTACATCTGCAACTCTACAAAATAGGTCCCTAGCATAGAGATGTGCTTTTAAAAGATTCACTTAAGAAAACCTGCCCCAAAGGACTTGAATAGGCACTTTTCAAAAGAGGAAATTGAAATGGCCAACAGACACAATGAAGAAATGCTCAAGATCACCAGCCATCAGGGAAATGCAAATCAAAACCACAATGAGTTTTCCCCTCACCCGTTATAATGGCTCTCATACAGAAATAAACAATAAATGCTGGCGAGAATGGGGGGGAGGGTATCTTAATCCTGTTGGTGCCATTGTATAAACAGTATGGAGATACTTCAGAAAGCTGAAAATAGATCCACCATATGACCCAGCCATCTCATTTCAGAAAATTTACCCAAAAAAAAATGAAATCAGCTTTGAGAGCCGGCGCCGTGGCTCAATAGGCTAATCCTCCACCTTGCGGCGCCGGCACACCGGGTTCTAGTCCCGGTCGGGGCGCCGGATTCTGTCCCGGTTGCCCCTCTTCCAGGCCAGCTCTCTGCTATGGCCAGGGAGTGCAGTGGAGGATGGCCCAGGTGCTTGGGCCCTGCACCCCATGGGAGACCAGGAAAAGCACCTGGATCCTGGCTCCTGCCATCGGATCAGCGCGGTGCGCCGGCTGCAGCGGCGGCCATTGGAGGGTGAACCAACGGCAAAGGAAGACCTTTCTCTCTGTCTCTCTCTCACTGTCCACTCTGCCTGTCAAAAATAAAAAAAAAAAAAAAAATGAAATCAGCTTTGAAAGAGTTATCTGTGCTCCCATGTTTATTACAGCTCAATTCACAATAGCTAACATACAGAATCAACCCAGATGTCACTCAACTGATTACTGGATGAAGAAATTGTGATATATACATATAGTAGGGAATACTACTCAGCTGTAAAAAAGAATGACATACTGTCTTTTGCAACAAAATGGGTGCAACTGGAAACCATTATACTTAATGAAATAACCAGTCTCAAAAAGACAAATATTATGTTTTCCTTGATTTGTATCAGCCAATAGAGCACAAAAAAAGTAATGTATAAGAGTGAAATTAATATTTTGAAATTCGATGATTGTTTACAGCCAGCCCTTGACTCTACTGTTGAAGAACAGAGTTTTTTTTTTTTCTTACTATTTGTTGAACTTTTTACTTAGTGTAGGGTTAATCTTATGAATATAAAGAAAAATAGAAGTAGATCAATGTAAAAATTATGGGAGGAAATAGGACAGGAAGGAGGAGGAAAGGTGAGAGTGTGGGTGGGAGAAAGGGTAGGGTGGGAAGTATCACTATGTTCTTAAATCTGTGTATATGAAATACACGGAATTTGTTCACCTTAAAAAATTTTTAACAAAAGAAAAAAGTTATAAAACTTGTCCCAAATAAAGGCATTTAAACCCCTCTTCTCAAAAAAATAAGCACTTATAGTTTAATAAAGAGACTCCAGGTAAAACAAGTAACTTCTACATAATGTGGAAAGTGTTATAATAAAAGTGTAATGATTTAGTACTTCATAAAGCTGAGGATGAGCTTCCTGGGGTACATGACAATGAGCTCAAGAATGAGATGGGATGAGAAGGGTGTTACAGAGACACAAAACATGAAGATGAGCACTGGAAACCAAAGGGAAAATCAATTATGGCATCTTATGAGAAGGTCCAACCAACAATAGAATATCATGATAAGTGAGTAAGGGCCAGATGATGGAGAGTCCACAGGTATGCTAGAATTTGCATTTATTCTGCTGATGAAAAAATTAAACTAGGAAGAACAACCCTGGAATATCAAGATCACAGTGCTGATGCTGTCAACGAAAATTTTAAGAGAAATAAGGTTTATTGCAGTGAAACCAATGTGGAGGTTATTCCAGTATTCCAGTTGAGAGGAAAGAAAAACGAATTTGCATGGGAAGTTCAGAGGGAGAAGAAGAACTGCTCCCAAATTTCAAATCCTTCTATGGAAATAATGCTAGAGAAAAAGGAAGATGCTGTGAGGAATTTCTGAAGCAACAGATTATTTCCAATACAACACTGTTAAGAGTGTGGTTTCTCAGTGACAATTATAATCAATTCTTTCTCTTACATTTCTACCCTGGTCTCTGGCTAGAAAACTGGAAAGTATCCTATTTTTGACAAGACATTTATTTAAAAGCTACCCCTTGAATTAGATAGCTTCAGAAGATAAAATAATTTCATCTCTTTCACAGAGTATTTACATAATTTGCAATGCTTAATAATGTCATCTATTTAGAATCCATAGCCCCTCACACTAAAATAAAAGTATATGCCCAATTTAAATAAAAGTAGTCTCCTTAGAAGGTCATCCAAGTATTCTATAATATCTCAAAACATTTTGAGAATTGTTATACATTGTATTTTAGATGCTTCTTGACACTTTTTAATATATTCATTAGAGGTAATAGATGAATTCAACATTATTGATTTTTACGCACAATTATAATTAAGATTAAGGCTTTATTAATAATCTTATTAGGTATGTGAAGGCGTGTGGGCAATAGCACAGCCAGAACTACCTGATATATCTCAAGCATCTGGATTTAGCAGTTACTCAATTATGGTGTGTTGAATTCTCAATTAATATTTGTTAAAGAAACTTGTCTACTAAGTCCAGTTATCTGAATACCTGTGGGCCTGTTATTCTTTTCTGTTACTTTGCTTTTGGGAAGTCATTCATAATCTCTTTCTGTTATTTTTTTTAAATCATGGCTCATTTTTTTATAGGATGCCAAGCACTGCAGAAAAAAATATTGAAGAGGTTCTAGAAAATGTTATCTTTGCCAAAAACAGTATTATATTTTGTTTTGGCAGACAAACACAATACACACACATACCCTTGATCCTCAGGGTTTGTTTTGATGTATAAAGATTAACCATCTTGGTTTTGCCTTTCATACTCAGGGTACTACGCTTAGACTTGGTCTGAGTCATTTACCTGGCCTTTTTTAATTTATTGAGCTTGAACTCTAACCTATTTCTTTTTCTCCTGCTCTTGTCAGCAACTCTATATTGTCCAACACATAAAACTTCTCCATCCTCATCAAAATCAACCTTTCACAAAAGCATCAGACACAGCAGTCACTCCCTATAAGGTGGACACTGTTGGCTCAATAGATAAATGATCTCCAATTATTCACTTTTTCTTGACTCTGCAACAAGGACAACATAGCTAAGTATAAGGTATCTCCCACTACCCACATCACAAGGTTTTTGAATTTTGGAAAGTGGCCTGAGTTGAAAGAGTAAGAGTCTGGATGGTAAAGACAAGTGTATCTGCTTTCCAAGTTGCTTACATCTGTTTTTATTATCCTGCTGATATCTCCAGGGCCCCCCACTGTTTTTTTGTTTTGTTTTGTTTTGACCAGGGCCCCCCACTGTTTTTTTGTTTTGTTTTGTTTTGACAGGCAGAGTGGACAGTGAGAGTGAGACTGAGAGAAAGGTCTTCCTTTGCTGTTGGTTCACCCTCCAATGGCCGCTGCAGCCAGCACGCTGCAGCCAGCGCACCATGCTGATCCGAAGCCAGGAGCCAGGTGCTTCTCCTGATATCCCATGCAGGTGCAGGGCCCAAGCACTTGGGCCATCCTCCACTGAACGCCTGAGCCACAGCAGAGAACTGGACTGGAAGAGGGGCAACTGGGACAGAATCTGGCGCCCCGACAGGGACTAGAACCTGGTGTGCCGGCGCCGCAGGCGGAGGATTAGCCTATTGAGCCGCAGCGCCAGCCCACTGTTCTTTTTTCCTATTTAAGTGCCTCCTCCACATTTAACCACTTAACAAAGGCAACATATAATTATGAAAACTCTATACTATAGGAAGAGCAGAACTACAGAGAACAACCAGATATAATCCTGCCTTCAAAGAAAACTTAATATGGTAGAGGAAAGAATTTATAAATTCAAAAATGAAAACTAAAAATATAAAGTGTTACGGGTTTTAAAATGTGAAGAAGTTTCTGATTGAGAAAGAAAATATTGCAGAAGGGAGGGGCTTCTTCTGGGAAATGATGTTTGAGTTGAGCCCTCAAGAATAAAACAGTTGTCAGAAGAGTGTGTTGGGAAGAAGGGTAAACATGTGCAAAGGCCCTTCTCTCCAAAGGCTTACTGCTTTCTCCTTTTCCTGTTCTCATTGTGTGGGTCTTCCACATCTTGTCCTGGTTTTTGCTTGATGCATAGATGTGCCGGTCCCTCCCCCATCACTCCCATACTTTCTTCTTTCCCTTTCAGTCACCATGTAATGTAGAACTAAAAAATGCTTAAATTATTCATTAAACAATAATTAAATTATTTACCTTAAGGTAAATAACTTATATGCTCTTAATTTTTTTTGTTTGTTTTTGTTTTCTTTCTTTCTTTTTTTTTTTGACAAGCAGTTAGACAGTGAGAGAGAGAGAGAACAGAGAGAAAGGTCTTCCTTTGCCATTGGTTCACCCCCCAAATGGAAGCTACGGCCACTGCGCTGTGCCAATCCAAAGCCAGGAGCCAGGTGCTTCTTCCTGGTCTCCCATGTGGGTGCAGGGCCCAAGGACTTGGGCCATCCTCCACTGCTTTCCTGGGCCACAGCAGAGAGCTGGACTGGAAGAGGAGCAACCGGGACAGAATCCAGAGCCCCAACCGGGACTAGAACCCAGGGTGCCGGCGCCACAGGTGGAAGATTAGCCAAGTGAGACACAGCACCAGCCCTTATGCTCTTAATTTTTTAAAGTAGGTTGAATGTGTGTGTTTTCTTTAAGCAAAAATCTGCAGAATTTCATTTTGTGCCACTGAATTGATTTTCCTCCTTGTAACTCAGTTTAATTTTACTAGGAGCAGAAGCAAACATTTATAATTTAGCTGCTAAGTGAAATAAAGTTCGATTTCACATAATCACTTTCATAATACTTTTCAGATATGTAAACTAAAACCAAACCTAATGTAAACAAATCTTATAGACAGATTCTGCCTAAGTACCCATAAAAAACATTAAATATTTTTCTGTCTCCTTTATAATCATATGTCTAGAAATCTGTTCCAAGATTTAAAACAGGTACAATTGTAGAACAAAATTCATGGCCTCAAAATATAGCTTTCTATAAAGTCTCACTAGGATGATGCATTTAGTAATATTAGTATATAATATTTTTACAGCACCCATACCTTGTTATCTTCCCAATAAAGAGCAAAACATTCATCTCCAGGTTTCCACATTTTTGCATACTCCAAAGGAATAGAAGATTCTAGTACTTTTTCTGGCTTAATTGGCCCAGATCTTCTTTTGGGCCCACTATTGTAAAATATTTTATCATCATAGGGTACAGTTGTGATGGGTCCTGCTGGTTTAATAGGTCCTACTCGTCTTCCTTTCAGTGGCATTTCTGTCTCTCCATTTGGAACACCAGTGAAACTATTACTTCGGACAGGATTCTGGTAATCAGTATTTACATTAAAATGTTTTTCAATCTTTATACCACTGAAAGCTTCATTATTTATTGTTCGTGATTTCCTGTCATAAAAATGGTCAGAATTAGCTGTTTGGTTTTCTCTTTTTCCACGTTTTTGATTATTATAATCTATGGATTCTTGAGGAAGTAGATTATCTTTAGCCTCCACACAGGATGGACCTTTTCCTGATCTGCTTTGCATGGAGTTATCTCTCTTTTTAAAAGCAACATCACTGTGCTGAGCACTTAAAGAATATGAAGTATCTTTAGTTCTGTCGTATCTAGAATATGGTCGATCACACTTGATTCTCTCTTCAGCCCATAATTCAGATCCCGAAGACGTACTTGGTCTTTCAGAACCTCTGTTTCTAGGTAAACTGCTTTCTAATACTGACTTTGAAATTTGGGAGTCCCTTTGGAAACGAGGAGGTTTTTCATTTCTTGGCTGCCTGGTATCATTTCGCAGGAGATGTCGTGGTTGATTATTGTCTTTTACTCCATTTTGTTCAGTATTTGACAATCTGTGTTGACCCTGATGAAGCTGCTGTGGCTGTGACTTAGGCTCTGAAAGGTAAAAGTATATAATATGTACATTAAAATGAAGACAATATTAGTACTTACTCATTTTAAGTGCCTAAAATTATCATCATAATAAATAATTATGCAACTACTACTATTTTAAGGTCTTCTTCCATTTTCTCACCTCAATATCTTCTTTTTTTGACGGGCAGAGTTAATGTGAGAGAGACAGAGAGAACCATCTCAATATCTAAATCCTCTGTGGTTACTTAGAGACCTGTATTTCCTATGTTTTCCTGGTTGGCCTCATTAATGAAGTAAAGAAATGATGTGAACTATAAAAAATGAGTAGGTAACCAAAAACTATTTGTCTTCATCACTGCATGTTTGCATTCTTATGATTATGTAGATATCTACTCTGGTAATCCATTTCTCAAAACATTAAAGAAAAAGAAATGCAAACTGCTAACTCAGCTGTGGCTAGGAAACTGCACAACTACAACCTTGTTCAACATTTCTTTGAATCTCATTCAAACTTAGAAATGTATAGTTATCATTAGCAATCACATTCTTTTTTTTTACTTTTATTTAATGAATATAAATTTCCAAAGTACAGAATATTGATTACAATGGCTTCCCCCCCATAACGTCCCTCCAACCCGCAACCCTCCCCTTTCCCACTCCCTCTCCCCTTCCATTCACATCAAGATTCATTTTCGATTCTCTTTATATACAGAAGATCAGTTTAGCATACATTAAGTAAAGATTTCAACAGTTTGCTCCAACACAGAAACATAAAGTGAAAAATACTGTTTGAGTACTAGTTATAGCATTAAATCTCAATGTACAGCACACTAAGGACAAAGACCTTTGCAAAACTGTTCCTCCTCAAATCTTTGAGTTTGCCTTTATCTCTGCATAGGACACGTCAACCTTTGCTTTTCAGAGTTACCTTTTCTTTTCTGTTCTGTTCTTTTTAAGCATCACCACCATGCAGAGAACTTTAAGGATATGAAGTATCTTTAGATCTGCCATATCTAGATTATGGTCTATCAGATATCCTATTACAAAAAAAGTAAATTTTCTTGACCTATCAAATTGACAGCAGGTACTACTTGGAAATGGATAAACAGACATAGAGAGTGAAGGTGCAGCTAGGCTTGGTAGGTATGGAAGAATCTGACTTCTGTTTTTTTAAAATAAATGAATAAAAGATTTCCTACTCTACAGTTTATGATTAAGGAGTGCTTTGAGTCTATGAAACTGTATTGGAAAGTTTTTTTCAATTTTCTTCCTTTGGTTCCAGATCCAAGAATTTTTGTATATTTTAATCACTACTGTTACTAACATTGAATCTCTTCATTTATGCATTCAAATCACCCTCATATCAAATGTACTGTCCTAGAAAAGTGAACAAAAATTTTTGAACAAATTATTTTTATCAAAAAACAATTTTAGAAAACAGTAGAGGAAGGCCGGCGCCATGGCTCAATAGGCTAATCCTCCACCTTGCAGCGCCAGCACACCGGGTTCTAGACCCGGTCGGGGCACCGGATTCTGTCTCAGTTGCCCCTCTTCCAGGCCAGCTCTCTGCTATGGCCCGGGAAGGCAGTGGAGGATGGCCCAAGTCCTTGGGCCCTGCACCTCATGGGAGACCAGGAGAAGCACCTGGCTCCTGGCTTCAGAACAGCACGATGCGCCGGCCGCGGTGGCCATTGGAGAGTGAACCAACGGCAAAAGGAAGACCTTTCTCTCTCTCTCTCTCTCTCTCTCACTGTCCACTCTGCCTGTCAAAAAAAAAAAAAAAGAAAGAAAGAAAAGAGTAGAGGAAAAAATCCATTTACCTCTTTTTCAGTTACTGAAGTAGTGCACATTAGACTACAGAATGAAAGAAGTAATTTTACCAATAATAAACATATTTAATTTTTTTACTATGCATAGATAATATACTGAGAGTAAAGTCTATAAAGGAAATTATCTTTAATAACTAAGAATACCTCCTAAGAATAAGTTAAATAAACTGTACTTTTAAAAGAAGATACTTTCCAAATATATCCATTTCAATCCAAAATGAAATCATACTCAAGAAAGGGAGGTTCTTAAATGCTTTACCATTCTTGGATTTCCTCAAATCCAGTGCATTTTACCTTTGGTAATTACATAATAAAGTCAGAGTTAAAGAGTATTCTGAAACAGAGGGAATTTACTTAATAAATAACAGAATATACTCAAATACTAAATTGTGACAAAGGTATTTGTATTTATTTATTTTAAATGATTGAATTTTATTTGAAAATCAGGAAGACAAAGTGTCAGACACTGAAAGATCTTCCATCCACTGGTTCATTCCCCAAATGCCTAGCCTAGGACTAGCCCATTTAGGGATTAATCTAGTGATTGAAAGATTCTCTCTTTCTAGCTTTTCAAATAAAATAAAATAGTTTTTAAGAAGAAAACACCACTGTAATTTAAAAACAAAAAAGAAAATACATCATCTTTTTCTTTTTTAAATGATCTAAAGGGAAGAGATGAAAAAAAAACAAACATTTAATATTAAATAGCAGAAAAAAGGAAAGAAAATCAGTAAAAATGATATAAAAATTGATTACAAAGCAGACAGACTGTGAAAAGCTAAAAGATCAAGGTAATGAAAACATAAATCAAAGAATGCTGCCTGCGTTTAGTGTGACTTGAAATAGAATGTTTCTATTAATCAGATCATGAATTTCAAAAGGCATGTTTAGAAGATAATTGACCACAATGTTATATCACCATTTGAAATGAAAGAATCACTCAGAATGAATTTATTGCACAAATAGAGTCTATATATGAAGATATCAGCACATCTTAAAATACTAATACTTTTTGCAGAATATTCAATTAATCAGCAGTTGTCCCTGCATTTTATAATAGAAAAAGGTACATTTTGTTTCCCAAGGTATTAACTAATCCTCATTTTATTCTGAGATATCCAACGGAAGTTAACACTTAACACCTTACTGTGTGCCTGACTCCATGTTACAAGTATTTTGTCTACATTATTTCCTGTACTCCTACAACCACTTTAAAAGGGCAACATTATTATCCTTATTTAACAAGAAAAGAAACAAAGTAATATACCTCAATTAAAGGCTCCTGCTAGAAAATGTTGAACCAGACTGAAATTGAAATCTAACTGAAGCTAAAGCCCATGATTTTTCCCCTATGCCAAACTGCCTATCCAGAAAAACAAGACAGAATGTAACTAAAAAAATCTTAGAAACATGACAGAATGTAACTAAAAACACATTAGCTACAATTTTATAAACTGCATCTGTTAATTTCTAGTGAGATGAAGAAATAACAAATGCTATTTCACATTTGTATACTAGGACTGTCAGAATCCTGACCTAAAATTATAATCTCTTTCCCATTAATAAAGAAAAACTAAAACACCTAATGACATGTGAAATGGTATTCAGAGGCCTACAAACTGGCACTTTGAGATAGCATAAAGAATAGGGTATACCCTTCTGGAGAGGGACCACATACGTTTATATCATGGGTCTGCCACTTACTAATTCTATATCCTTAGGCAAAATATTTACCTTTGCAAGTCTCATCTTTAACACAGGACTAATAATAGAGCACACCTCACAGGATTAACTAGGTTAATATATGTTAAATATTAAAAACAGTATCTGGCTTTAACAAGCCTTCAGTAAATGTTATCTGACATTATTGCTGTGACTATCACCATTAGTATTGAAATTATATAAATAAACTTAACTAATGACATCAGCAAAAGTCATTAAGGATGGTAAGATGATTCCCTATTTATACATTTCCACTACCACCAATCTCCAACTTTAGTTACAGTCCTTAACTTGATGTAGCTTTTTTCCTCTTAATTTATCCTTTTGCTTATTTGTTTTCTTATTGAAAACAAGGCAGGAAGAACCTTTTAATATTGTTATAAAGGCAATATTATATTATTAAGAAAACTTTGTATACATCAGAAAATCAAAAATATTTTAACCTTTTCACTTAAAATTTAATATAAACATTCTTCAGATAAAAACTTATATCTTTAAAATTTTTCTACATAAGAAAGGCAAAGCTATATTTAAAAAGCACTCATACCTCTTTCATTACTAAATGCATAGAATGAATGTTCTATCTTCTGCTTATTCAAATTCCATCTCTAGATATAGCCATTATTAACAGTTTCAGAAGTTATTCTTTTTTATATAATTCATACAGGCATAAAAACATTTTGTTTTTAGCAAAAGTAAAAAAAAGCAGATCCATGCTATATCTCATGGATTGCAATCTACTTTTTAAATTAACAGTATCTCATGGGCATCTTTCTGAATCAGTGAGTTGAAGAATCTTATTCATTTCAGTACTGCATTTTTTAAGGATGGTACTTCATTTTTGAATTTTTATGACCTTTTCATTGTACAAATTCTGGCATACAGTGTGATATATCATCACTTATATTCTACGTCAAGTGACTAAACAGTACATCTGGCACTTCTATTTCCTTAAATTTTATTTTTCAATTTTATATTAAAACAATAATGGCATAGGCCTCTGGCATACAATGTGACATTCCAATACATGTATGAGTAGGCAATGTACACTGATTAAATCAGGGCAATCAGCATCTTCAGCTCTCTATCACCACCCCTAAATCTGTGCTTCTCCTTCCTAGACATTGATAAAATATGCCATACATCATCATGAATTATACTTTCCCCATTGCATTATAGATAAAAAGAGGTTACTTTCAATACAAAGAGGTTTTTATAGATAAAAAAGAGGTTACTACACAATAACCAATTTGGAAGTAGAGTTGGAGTCTTATTTGGCATTATTTTCTCCAGTGTTTTTGCTACTATAGAATCAGGAAAAAAGGTAGGTGGCACTCAGTAAATAAAGAGAAAGAAAGAGAATTACTGAAAACACCGGAAATGGAACAAGCTTCCAAGTTTAAAATCAGTACTTGTTTAACACTGTCACCTGGGGTTACTAAGGGATAAGACTGAAATAGAAAATGTACT